TACCCCTCCGCCCAAGAGGTGAGGGAAACAACGTGGTAACCCCACCTCAAATATCGATTTGTTGTGACCTAAGTCTCATATGTTCCTTAAAGGATCAAACTTGACTTGTATCTTACGTTTGTTTGACATTACGGGTTGTTACATAGTCCGCATTTCCTAAAATAGTCGAACATTTTATTTCATAAGTGCTTAGTGAGATGTTTCCGTCCCTCGTGACACGCGGCAATAAATATGCATATTTTACTGCAGATAATTCCAGACTGACAGCGCACTAATGCAGTAACTGTATGACAAACACTTGAGTCAGGAACAAGGACAGTGTGTGTCCCCCATTCACCCCTTTAGATTGAAGAAATAACTCGTTTTGAATTGGCGCTGTGCAAATTGATCTCACAATATCAAAAGTAAGACCCGAGGGGAATAGAGGCAAGGGAAAGTAAGACCCGAGGGGAATAGAAGCAAAATGAAAGTAAGACCCGAAGGGAATAGAAGCAAGACAAAGTAAGACCCGAGGGGAATAGAGGCAAGGAAAAGTAAGACCCGAAGGGAATAGAGGCAAGGGAAAGTAAGACCCCAGGGGAATAGAGGCAAGGGAAAGTAAGACCCGAGGGAATACAGGTGGGGAAAGTAAGACCCCAGGGGAATAGAGGCAAGGGAAAGTAAGACCCGAGGGGAACAGAGGTGAGGGAAAGTAAGAAAGTAAGACCCGAAGGGAATAGAAGCAAGACAAAGTAAGACCTGAGGGGAATAGAGGCAAGGGAAAGTAAGACCTGAAGGGAATAGAGGCAAGGGGAAAGTAAGACCCCAGGGGAATAGAGGCAAGGGAAAGTAAGACCCGAGGGAATACAGGTGGGGAAAGTAAGACCCCAGGGGAATAGAGGCAAGGGAAAGTAAGACCCGAGGGGAACAGAGGTGAGGGAAAGTAAGACCCGAGGGGCATAGAGGCAAGGGAAAGTAAGACCCCAGGGGAATAGAAGCAAAGGGAAAGTAAGACCCGAGGGAATACAGGTGGGGAAAGTAAGACCCCAGGGGAATAGAGGCAAGGGAAAGTAAGACCCAAAGGGAATAGAGGCAAGGGAAAGTAAGACCCCAGGGGAATAGAGGCAAGGGAAAGTAAGACCCCAGGGGAATAGAGGCAAGGGAAAGTAAGATCCCAGGGGAATAGAGGCATGGGAAAGTAAGACCCGAGGGGAATAGAGGTGAGGGAAAGTAAGACCCGAGGGGCATAGAGGCAAGGGAAAGTAAGACCCGAGGGAATACAGGTGGGGAAAGTAGGACCCCAGGGGCATAGAGACAAGGGAAAGTAAGACCCGAGGGGAATAGAGGCAAGGAAAAGTAGGACCCCAGGGAATACAGGTGGGGAAAGTAGGACCCCAGGGGAATAGAGGCAAGGGAAAGTAAGACCCGAGGTAATACAGGTGGGGAAAGTAGGACCCCAGGGGAATAGAGGTGAGGGAAAGTAAGATCCGAGGGGAATAGAGGTAAGGGAAAGTAAGACCCGAGGGGAATAGAGGTAAGGGAAAGTAAGACCCGAGGGGAATAGAGGTAAGGGAAAGTAAGACCCGAGGGGAATAGAGGTGAGGGAAAGTAAGTGCCGAGGGGAATAGAGGCAAGGGAAAGTAAGACCCGAGGGGAATAGAGGTAAGGGGGAAAGTAAGACCCGAGGGAGTTGTGGTGAGGTGAAATTGGGTTTAACGTCGTGCTTGAGAATATTTCACTCATATGACGACATGAATGCGTGTGTATGTGTAGGTGCGGCTGCTTGTACTAGCTCAGACTGAAGCTGGTTTTATAGTGCTAACCCACTGAGATACCATGCCACAGTGAAGCATGAATACCCCACTAAGACACATTATACGGACCCCGAGCCGACCAGTCCTTGATGTACCCATTAATGCCGAGCGCCAGGCAGGGACCAACAAGTACCATATTTTAACGTCTTTTGGTATGACGCGGCCGGGGATCGAACCCGCGACCTTCCGCTCTCCGGGCGGAAAGACCCGAGGGAACACAGGTGGGGAAACTAAGAACCGATGGGAACAGAGGCAAGGGAAAGTAAGATCAGAAGGAATGCAGGCGAGGGAAAGTTAGATCCGAGGGAATACAGACGAGGGAAAGTAAGACCAGAAGGAATGCAGGCGAGGGAAAGTTAGATCCGAGGGAATACAGGCGAGGGAAAGTAAGACCAGAAGGAATGCAGGCGAGGGAAAGTTAGATCCGAGGGATAACAGGCGAGGGAAAGTAACACCAGAAGGAATGCAGGCGAGGGAAAGTAAGACCCGAGGGATAACAGGCGAGGGAAAGTAAGACCAGAAGGAATGCAGGCGAGGGAAAGTAAGACCAGAAGGAATGCAGGCGAGGGAAAGTAAGACCAGAGGGAATACAAGTGGGGAAAATAAGACCTTGCTCAAGATGCTATTCTCAGTTAAGTACCATAAAGAGTACTGATACAGCCATACTGATGGCCTTGGTTGATTTCGACAGGGATTGTGAAGCCCATTGCTGGCATCTCACCCAGTGATATTCCCTACATATTTTCAAAAGCGGCGTAAACAACGCCCAATCGGTCTCTTATGCATCTCCTGAATTAGAAACCGACATAAACAAATGTAGCAAAATGTAGAAAATGGAAAATGGTTAGTAAAGATTACTGACTTTGTTGTGCACTCATGTCCCAACAGAGCCAAGCATTTATGACAAAATGCTGCGGATGTAAGGAAGCAAATACCAGTATCGGCAAACAGTGTAATATGTTAGTATCCAGGTTTCAAAAGCTATGAAAAGAAAAAATAACTGTCATCGAGAATAGTTGATCTTGACAATAATGATCATTTGTATCGTTATATGATATCCCGTTAAACAGTAGATGACGTCACAGGACGTCTCTCGTGTCCGACTGTATCCCAAAGCAGACCCGTCGATAGAAATGTGGTGTTGGAGTGTAAAAGTGCACGGTTAGACATAGACTAAGGCTTAGTCTCTGAATATATATAATTTTGATAGTAACAAACAAGCCCATTTATATTGAAAAGGAGCCCCAGGGAGACCAGAGAACCTGAGGAAATCTAGACTTGCTTTATTTAGGGCTTTAGCACTGCGGAGAGGGCTTGGCAGTAGGGAAATTAATCTGGTTCAGGGACTGTGAGACAGACTAGGTTAGACACGACTCACGGGTGTTCACATTAATCTCATTAAACACAGATTAATCACCCAAAGATTCACTGGTCCATTTATCCAAGAGTGAAACTAGTGTTGTGTGAAATATTCTTATATTTCAATTTTGTGAAAACAATTTTTAATTATATTTTTTCACGTGGCGACTGTGAGTGAGTGAGTTGAGTTTAACGTCGCACTCAGCAATATTCCACCTATATGGTTGCGGTCTGTAAATAATCGAGTCTGGACCTGACAATCCAGTGATCAACAGCATGAGCATCGATCAACGAAGTCAGCGAGCCTGACCACTCGATCCCGTTAGTCGCTTCTTACGACAAGCATGTCTTAATGAAGATCAATTCTAAACCGGATCTTCAGGGGTCGTGACGGCTGTGAAGTAGTTGATGATGATTACTGTGTATTTTCAACATGCATATACTTGTTCTTTGGCTTTGAGAAAGCCAATAGTGGAGATTGATCGTAACGTATACCCTGGAGATTATCGAGGATGTGAGACAGCGTAATGGTTACAAATGAGTGTTCGTCGCGTGTGTAACATGGGTTCATTTAGAAAAACAGAAACAACGTGCCTATCATTATATTCCCCGCCGTGTTAAACATTCTTGCTTCGTCCAAACGGCTGTAGGCAACCCATGCGGCCAATCATGAATTATTTTATGTCCGATTCAAATGATAATTCGACTTTGATAGTCACGTTAGCATCAGATGAGTTAGTTCCCTTAGATACGTAGTAGTCGATTAAAGTTGAAATTACCATCTTCATCTGACACCAAACAAATTAATACTTTGTTTTATTTTGAAAAGCTAATGGACAAACTGTCAAATGTTTTCCTGACTTGGAACGTTTTTTCCCCGTGAGCAAATTTACAATTTGTTCAGCAGGTTTTGGAGTTGAGTCCTGGGTTTTGAGATATTAAGTCCTATGAAGGCTTCAGCAATATGGATATTTGGAGAAAATCATACCAACATAACTAGTGCATGAGTGAGTTTAACACCGCTTTTAGCAATATTCCAGCAATATCACGGGCGACACCAGAACCTGGGTCTTCGGTGTGACGAGCAAATGCTTTACCCACTATGCTACCCCACCAACAATTAAAAATGGCAGGCAGACATATAAAGTTGACTGCCACTTCAGATTATTAAAGGACGATAGCGTCTCTCTCATTTATTTTCAAATTCCAAGGCAGATACGTAACATGGTCCATAAAACGGTTTGTATATCCAATCCAACATGGATAAAATGGTATTACCTTACAATTAGTTGGTGTAATAAGAGGCGAACATATTGTAAAGTTGTACCCTTTTCCTTTCAAGAGGGATAAGTCTGCCAAATTTGTCCTGTATTTGCAACAATTGCCCCACATGAAACCGAGACATCATAACTGGTTATGGTTATTGTTTTATTATCCTACTGTGTAAACAATTATTTAGAAGTGTTATATTTTCAGTCACTGCCTTAGTCTTGCAATGGTACTCTTTCACAATATCTCAAACATTTAGCATGTGCAAGAAATAACTATCTATAATATCCAAATTTAATAATTTACGTTATCTTCTAAAACAGTATACACTAACAGTTTTACACCCCATTCAGCAATATTCCAGCAATATCAGGGTGGGGGACACTGGAAATGGGCTTCACACATTGTACCCATGTGGGGAAATGAACCCCGGACTTCAGCAAGATGAGCAAATGCTTTAACCACTAGGCTACCAACCCCCTGCCCCCCAGCCCTCCTCTCAATGAAAACCAACCAGTTAGCCCCTGTTAGTGAGACGTATAAAGGGACTAATACTCACCTGATTGATTCGAAACACTGTTTTAACTGTGATAACTTTATTCTTGCTGACAAGTCAAGGCCTTACAATCACAATCTGTACCCATAGTAATCATATGTCTCAAAACTATTTGTCATTGTATCAACTTCTGTATAAATACAGCAACAAGAAGAAGCAGAAATTCAACTACACATTAGAAACATGTTTCTAATCTTTTAAATATTCTCTGAGAATATGCAGCACTGGTAAGCTGTAAACATGTACTATGTCTTGCATCTATCATATGGCACATATAAGCATAATGTTTACAAGGGTCCAGCTATGAGGGGAATATGATATACATCACAAATACTGGGTAACGAAACAATTACAAGTAAGCTGCTGAAGAATTGGTCATTACTTTCGGTCAAACAATAACTAACTGGAGGATTTTATATAACAACCTAGCTACACAGTAATTCAGATAAAACATTAATGATTATCAACGCAATTATGGCACTTGGATAATACAGCTACAAACATCAGTTAGTAGTAATGCAAACATGAAAGTCAAACAATGTGTATTGTTGATGAATACAATCCCCAATTATAATAGATTTCAGATATAAATGGAATAATTAATGAAAATTATAAAGAATACAGGCAGTATATATAATTTGTATATTTTTGTAATTCAAAGAGAACATTAATTCTCCCAATATTATTACATACAAATTTCTGTAGCCAAATATGGCATAACATTGTATAACTTATGAAGAAACATTATAGTCACATTTTCTAAATAAATATCAATAAGCTACTTTGATTTGAATAAACTAAATGCCGGCTTTAGTTCCCCTAATGTTTCTTGTGTGGATAAATTCTAGCAATCCAGAAGTATGACGTAATTGTATATAGACTGACAAATAGTGGCGACGATCAAACTATGGATGCTTCATAACTGTCCCTGCCTGTTTAACAGAAGCTATTCAATTCTTTTCATCCATAATACATTATGTTCTAATTTTGAATGTAATAATGAATATATACTACTCAAACAAGTTAAAGAGCACCCACTACTGGACGGCTGATTGTTGTAATACCTACCAGTAATGACCAACTAGTCATATGAATAAGTCAGACAATCCATACTGTTTTCTGAGTAGTACATATGCAATAAGGTAGAGGGGTAGGTAAACAGTGCAACAACTTTCAATCACGCAGAGTACAAGTTACAATTCAAATACTAAAACAAATCACAGTGAATACTATCTTGGTATATGCAGCCTCAGCACTTGCATACATTGGCCCCTTGGTGAAGGCTAAGTTGACACCAGTGAATTACTGGGATATATACTGTATATTGTCTTCTGTGTGTGTGAATTTTACATATCCACTCATGGGAGAATATAAGAGTATACTGTCCTATGACGAATGTTTATTTCTGTGTTTACCAGAAATGCTCATATCAACATTATTCAAGGAAATATTAAAATATTACTACCTTGACAAATGAGGTAAGATCCTTTTTGCCTTAATCGTAATTTCCTGCTCAAAATATGCTTCCATTTTGTTTCTACATATCATTCTGTCATTTGTTCATTCTTGACATGTAATAAAAATCTGAGTAAGATGAAATATTTGTAATTTGATCATTAATATGCAACAAACAGAAAGTAAAATAATAAAGATTCTAAAATGAATTTACGTCCCTGATTGCTCTACTTGTGATAAAAGATAAAATCACAACCCCCTACAATTCTGTTTTACAAATAACCAATTTATCCTGCTTTGCATGGGACAGATTAGGCAGTTATTTCTTCTCTGATATCACTAACTGACACCTGACCATAGAGAAAATTTCAAAAAACCATGCACTAAAACAAAAGCAGCCTTGGGTTCAGTCAACGTTCAGAGTTTTGCCTGACCTAGTCATAAACCAAAGTCGTAGTCTGGGGCACCTGCTTTGAAGGACGCATAGAATCTCAAATGTGACTCTGCATCAAACATGGTGGCCTTGACTGCTGGAAGTTCATACATTCTCTTTTGCCAGGCTGCGAGGTTTGGGAAGTTGTTTTCAGTGATGGCATACTTTGGCGCCACTTTCTCCACGACTCCATCTCTTTCAAACCATGGCCACAGAGTGAAGTCCACCATGCACGGGGTGGCACCTGGTTTGGAGGAAAGAGTGCATGAATGACACAATGAATATGTTTCATATTTTACCTACACATAAACTGAAAGATTCACAATCATGGGATTCAGGTGGTCTCCAACAGTTTGTCCATGACAGGTCATGGCTAAGTGTTGATCTGTGTCATGGGGGGAGTTGCTCTGTGTCAGGTCACAGGGTGAGTTGATCTGTGTGAGGTCACAGGGAGAGTTGATCTCGGTCAGGTCACAGGGTGAGTTGATCTCGGTCAGGTCACAGGGTGAGTTGATCTGTGTCAGGTCACAGGGAGAGTTGATCTCGATCAGGTCAAAGGGGGAGTTGATCTCGGTCAGGTCACAGGGGTAGTTGATCTGTGTCAGGTCACAGGGTGAGTTGATCTGTGTCAGGTCACAGGGACAGTTGATCTGTGTCAGGTCACAGGGACAGTTGATCTCCGTCAGGTCAAAGGGACAGTTGATTTCATGTCACAGGGACAGTTGATCTGTGTCAGGTTACAGGGAGAGTTGATCTGTGTGAGGCCACAGGGAGAGTTGATCTTGGTCAGGTCACAGGGAGAGTTGATCGGTGTCAGGTCACAGGGACAGTTGATCTCCGTCAGGTCAAAGGGACAGTTGATCTCACTCAGGTCACAGGGACAGTTGATCTCATGTCACAGGGACAGTTGATCTCCGTCAGGTTACAGGGAGAGTTGATCTGTGTCAGGTCAAAGGGACAGTTGATCTCAGTCAGGTCACAGTGAGAGATGATCTGTGTGTCAAGTGACAGGGAGAGTTGATCTCAGTCAGGTCACAGGGAGAGTTGATCTCAGTCAGGTCACAGGGAGAGTTAATCTCACTCAGGTCACAGGGACAGTTGATCTCATGTCACAGGGACAGTTGATCTCCGTCAGGTTACAGGGAGAGTTGATCTGTGTGAGGTCACAGGGAGAGTTGATCTCGGTCAGGTCACAGGGTGAGTTGATCTCGGTCAGGTCACAGGGAGAGTTGATCTGTGTCAGGTCACAGGGAGAGTTGATCTCCGTCAGGTCAAAGGGACAGTTGATCTCATGTCACAGGGAGAGTTGATCTCCGTCAGGTTACAGGGAGAGTTGATCTGTGTCAGGTCACAGGGACAGTTGATCTCCGTCAGGTCAAAGGGACAGTTGATCTCATGTCACAGGGACAGTTGATCTCCGTCAGGTTACAGGGAGAGTTGATCTGAGTGAGGTCACAGGGAGAGTTGATCTCGGTCAGGTCACAGGGTGAGTTGATCTCGGTCAGGTCACAGGGAGAGTTGATCTGTGTCAGGTCACAGGGAGAGTTGATCTCAGTCAGATCACAGGGTGAGTTGATCTGTGTCAGGTCACAGGGACAGTTGATCTCCGTCAGGTCAAAGGGACAGTTGATCTCGTCAGGTCAAAGGGACAGTTGATCTCTCTCAGGTCACAGGGACAGTTGATCTCATGTCACAGGGACAGTTGATCTCCGTCAGGTTACAGGGAGAGTTGATCTGTGTCAGGTCAAAGGGACAGTTGATCTCAGTCAGGTCACAGTGAGAGATGATCTGTGTGTCAAGTGACAGGGAGAGTTGATCTCAGTCAGGTCATAGGGAGAGTTGATCTCAGTCAGGTCACAGGGACAGTTGATCTCACTCAGGTCACAGGGACAGTTGATCTCATGTCACAGGGACAGTTGATCTCCGTCAGGTTACAGGGTAAGTTGATCTCAGTCAGGTCACAGGGAGAGTTGATCAGTGTCAGGTCACAGGGAGAGTTGATCTCTGTCAGGTCACAGGGAGAGTTGATCTCAGTCAGGTCACAGGGAGAGTTGATCTCAGTCAGGTCACAGGGAGAGTTGATCTCCATCATGTTATAAGGAGAGTTGATCAGTGTCAGGTCACAGGGAGAGTTGATCGCAGTCAGGTCACAGGAGAGTTGATGTCAGTCAGGTCACAGGGAGAGTTGATCTCATGTCACAGGGACAGTTGATCTCCGTCAGGTTACAGGGAGAGTTGATCTGAGTGAGGTCACAGGGAGAGTTGATCTCGGTCAGGTCACAGGGTGAGTTGATCTCGGTCAGGTCACAGGGAGAGTTGATCTGTGTCAGGTCACAGGGAGAGTTGATCTCAGTCAGATCACAGGGTGAGTTGATCTCAGTCAGGTCACAGGGAGAGTTGATCTCAGTCAGGTCACAGGGAGAGTTAATCTCACTCAGGTCACAGGGACAGTTGATCTCATGTCACAGGGACAGTTGATCTCCGTCAGGTTACAGGGAGAGTTGAGCTGTGTGAGGTCACAGGGAGAGTTGATCTCGGTCAGGTCACAGGGTGAGTTGATCTCGGTCAGGTCACAGGGAGAGTTGATCTGTGTCAGGTCACAGGGAGAGTTGATCTCCGTCAGGTCAAAGGGACAGTTGATCTCATGTCACAGGGAGAGTTGATCTCCGTCAGGTTACAGGGAGAGTTGATCTGTGTCAGGTCACAGGGACAGTTGATCTCCGTCAGGTCAAAGGGACAGTTGATCTCATGTCACAGGGACAGTTGATCTCCGTCAGGTTACAGGGAGAGTTGATCTGAGTGAGGTCACAGGGAGAGTTGATCTCGGTCAGGTCACAGGGTGAGTTGATCTCGGTCAGGTCACAGGGAGAGTTGATCTGTGTCAGGTCACAGGGAGAGTTGATCTCAGTCAGATCACAGGGTGAGTTGATCTGTGTCAGGTCACAGGGACAGTTGATCTCCGTCAGGTCAAAGGGACAGTTGATCTCCGTCAGGTCAAAGGGACAGTTGATCTCTCTCAGGTCACAGGGACAGTTGATCTCATGTCACAGGGACAGTTGATCTCCGTCAGGTTACAGGGAGAGTTGATCTGTGTCAGGTCAAAGGGACAGTTGATCTCAGTCAGGTCACAGTGAGAGATGATCTGTGTGTCAAGTGACAGGGAGAGTTGATCTCAGTCAGGTCATAGGGAGAGTTGATCTCAGTCAGGTCACAGGGACAGTTGATCTCACTCAGGTCACAGGGACAGTTGATCTCATGTCACAGGGACAGCTGATCTCCGTCAGGTTACAGGGTAAGTTGATCTCAGTCAGGTCACAGGGAGAGTTGATCAGTGTCAGGTCACAGGGAGAGTTGATCTCTGTCAGGTCACAGGGAGAGTTGATCTCAGTCAGGTCACAGGGAGAGTTGATCTCCATCATGTTATAAGGAGAGTTGATCAGTGTCAGGTCACAGGGAGAGTTGATCGCAGTCAGGTCACAGGAGAGTTGATGTCAGTCAGGTCACAGGGAGAGTTGATCTCATGTCACAGGGACAGTTGATCTCCGTCAGGTTACAGGGAGAGTTGATCTGAGTGAGGTCACAGGGAGAGTTGATCTCGGTCAGGTCACAGGGTGAGTTGATCTCGGTCAGGTCACAGGGAGAGTTGATCTGTGTCAGGTCACAGGGAGAGTTGATCTCAGTCAGATCACAGGGTGAGTTGATCTCAGTCAGGTCACAGGGACAGTTGATCTCCGTCAGGTCAAAGGGACAGTTGATCTCCGTCAGGTCAAAGGGACAGTTGATCTCTCTCAGGTCACAGGGACAGTTGATCTCATGTCACAGGGACAGTTGATCTCCGTCAGGTTACAGGGAGAGTTGATCTGTGTCAGGTCAAAGGGACAGTTGATCTCAGTCAGGTCACAGTGAGAGATGATCTGTGTGTCAAGTGACAGGGAGAGTTGATCTCAGTCAGGTCATAGGGAGAGTTGATCTCAGTCAGGTCACAGGGACAGTTGATCTCACTCAGGTCACAGGGACAGTTGATCTCATGTCACAGGGACAGTTGATCTCCGTCAGGTTACAGGGTAAGTTGATCTCAGTCAGGTCACAGGGAGAGTTGATCAGTGTCAGGTCACAGGGAGAGTTGATCTCTGTCAGGTCACAGGGAGAGTTGATCTCAGTCAGGTCACAGGGAGAGTTGATCTCCATCATGTTATAAGGAGAGTTGATCAGTGTCAGGTCACAGGGAGAGTTGATCTCAGTCAGGTCACAGGAGAGTTGATGTCAGTCAGGTCACAGGGAGAGTTGATCTGTGTCAGGTCAAAGGGAGAGTTTTCTCAGTCAGGTCACAGGGAGAGTTGATCTCAGTCAGGTCACAGGGTGAGTTGATCTGTGTCAGGTCACAGGGTGAGTTGATCTGTGTCAAGTTACAAGGAGAGTTGATCAGTGTCAGGTCACAGGGAGAGTTGATCTCAGTCAGGTCACAGGGAGAGTTGATTTGTGTCAGGTTACAGGGAGAGTTGATCTGTGTCAAGTTACAAGGAGAGTTGATCTGTGTCAGGTCACAGGGAGAGTTGATCTCAGTCAGGTCACAGGGAGAGTTTTCTCTGTCCGGTCACAGGGTGAGTTGAGATTTGTCAGGTGACAGAGATTGTTGATCTCAGTCAGGTAACAGGGAGAGTTAATCTCAGGTCAGTAATAGGGAGGGTTGAGGTATCAGAAGAGAACTGATTGTAGATCTCATCAGCATATCTTATTCTCACCTCCAAAGAACTCGCCTCGCTCTCCAAGGGCAGCTTCATAACGTCTTAAACTTTTGAAGTAATTCTCCCCTGCCTCATCGCTGCCTCCTGACGACAGTAACTTGTAAAAGCTAGTTACAACCTGCAACACAAACAAGCACCTGTACTAGGCAGTCAGCACCTGTACCAAGTACAACCAAGCCCACCTGAAACAACAAAAGTCACTAATTCCACAACAATTTTCAAGTTCTGTGAAAAAGAAGATGTGTATTGAAAATCATCTCCAACATCCTGATTGTGGATCAAAATGCATCTAAAAGTATTCATTTGGTCAACATACTTTGAAAAACATTGTCATTGTAGGTAATAATACATTTAATAAGTCGCTGACAAGTAACATATTCTTGCAAAATCATGCACATGGTGAGTGCCTCCATAAACACAAGAGTTGAGGGTAACTAAGGAGTATACCTCCATAAACACAAGAGTTGAGGGTAACTAAGGAGTAAACCTCCATAAACACAAGAGTTGAGGGTAACTAAGGAGTAAACCTCCATAAACACAAGAGTTGAGGGTAACTAAGGAGTATACCTCCATAAACACAAGAGTTGAGGGGAGTATACCAGTACCTCCATAAACACAAGAGTTGAGGGTAACTAAGGAGTAAACCTCCATAAAGGCAAGAGTTGAGGGTAACTAAGGAGTATACCTCCATAAACACAAGAGTTGAGGGGAGTATACCAGTACCTCCATAAACACAAGAGTTGAGGGTAACTAAGGAGTAAACCTCCATAAACACAAGAGTTGTGGGTAACTAAGGAGTAAACCTCCATAAACACAAGAGTTGAGGGTAACTAAAGAGTAAACCTCCATAAAGGCAAGAGTTGAGGGTAACTAAGGAGTATACCTCCATAAACACAAGAGTTGAGGGGAGTATACCAGTACCTCCATAAACACAAGAGTTGAGGGTAACTAAGGAGTAAACCTCCATAAACACAAGAGTTGTGGGTAACTAAGGAGTAAACCTCCATAAACACAAGAGTTGAGGGTAACTAAGGAGTAAACCTCCATAAAGGCAAGAGTTGAGGGTAACTAAGGAGTAAACCTCCATAAAGGCAAGAGTTGAGGGTAACTAAGGAGTAAACCTCCATAAACACAAGAGTTGAGGGTAACTAAGGAGTAAACCTCCATAAAGGCAAGAGTTGAGGGTAACTAAGGAGTATACCCCCATAAACACAAGAGTTGAGGGGAGTATACCAGTACCTCCATAAACACAAGAGTTGAGGGTAACTAAGGAGTAAACCTCCATAAACACAAGAGTTGTGGGTAACTAAGGAGTATACCTCCATAAACACAAGAGTTGAGGGGAGTATACTGGTACCTCCATAAACACAAGAGTTGAGGGTAACTAATGAGTAAATGTTCATAAATGGAAGAGTTGAGAACTTGGATTTGCCGGCCTCTGCTATTGACCATGGGGATGCTACTGATCATGATCTGGATGAGGCAAGTGGATAGAATAAGGACACAGCCTATGTGGTATGGTATGTGGTAGCTGAATCTAGAAAATAAAATCCCATCTAGGAGGACCTATATGGACTGTGCTATGTCAACCGTCCTAAGTAATCCTGATTAGCATCCATCAGACCGTAGTGCTACCACTGTCGTAAGTCTATGTTGAAGTATGGGAGTTCCAATCGTCTTAGGGCTACGATCGCTTTGAGGAACGGTGCCCAGAGCATTAATGTCAATGATCCTTGGTGCTGTGGCTAGGGATAATAAGAAGACTATCCTTAAAGCCATCTTATCCAAGCTCTGATTCTGAAGAGACTCATATTCCTCTGAAGACAAATGCTGTAACACCAAGCTTAGATCCGATTCTAGTGGTTGGAATTTTTCAGACTGATCATAGAGTTTGTAGGTTTGGACAAAGAACAATCGTTGAAAACCTTCCATCTATTGTCATAAAATGGTGATGGATGTGTAATAAGGAGCTATGATAGACTGTGCCACTTCCCTTGAGAAGCCCTCAGTTTGTGGTTGAGGAAATGCCAAATGGCAGGACCCAACAGAGGTAGTGTGGACATTTAAAAGTGAACTGGATAGAATGCCGCTACTCTGACTGTATCTGGACATGGAGATGAGAGTCTTTCAGGTCCAAACTTGCCACTGGTCCTGGTTGATCTTTCATGAGTTCACAAGTGAGTGAGTGAGTGACTATGGTTTTATGCTACCTTTAGCAATATTCCAGCAATATCACGACATGGACTACCAGAAATAGGTTTGTGTTCAAGGAGTGTGATGAAGAATGTCTGTAAGGTTAACTCTTTCAGAGATGAAGTGGTGGCTGGGCGAGTGCCTTACAGGCCATTTATAGAGCAACTGTGTGAATCCCATGATAATTCAGTGATGATACAGCAGTAAATTTCCCTGCTTTGCATTGTGGCATTACTTTCAGTAGATCAGGGTTTGGACGAGTCACAAACTGTAATATTTACCTGTGAGGAGGTGTCTGACAGAATCCTATCCCTTGCCCTCTGGTAGGGATCCTGAGGGTAGAGAGGAATGTCTGGGTAGACTTGGTCCAGGTAGTCATCACAGACTAGCGACTCGTACACCACCTGGTCACCCTTCTCCAGCACCGGCACCAGGCCGATGGGATTTCGCTCCAGAAACCAGTCTGGCTTTTTCTTCAAGTCCACGTTAATTGTCTCGTACCTGCAAACAATGACACATGCATCATCAGCTACACAGGCATGCACCACCAACAATACTAAATGGTTTATTCTGTGGTGTATGATGTAAAACTGCCAGTGGCTGTTGTCAGTGGCTGGAGTTTACTGACTCAACAATATTACAAAACTTCTTCTTAAGGGTACGTTGTTTCATGTTGTCTGTGCCATTGCCAATGAGTATGCTTAATGTTGTCAGTAGGTCAGTGTTTTAGTTGTTTAAGTGGGACTACTAAATGTTACCACTGACGCAGCTGCTGTGTTCACTATTGTTGTCAGTGCCTTACTAGGAATGTTTCCTGTTTTCAGTGAATTATTGGGAATGTTTACCGTTGTCAGTGCCTTAGTGGCAGTAAGAGCTCCTGATAAGATTTAGCTCATGTGCGTACTGTACCCACTGTATTTTTTTGGAGTGGGTATTATGAATGTTGAGTGGTTATTTCATTTTCCGTTACGCACTGCTTTCAAATATGTGAGTATTTCAGTCATTTTACGCACCTAAGTATTATGTCATTGAGTAAGTTTACTAAGCAGGTATGTTCTGAGTTATGTCATACCTAATCAAAACCAACTTAAATATAATGGAAATGATTTCATAAAAAATCACTCATCCTGTACTGACAGTACAACACTTATCCTATACTAACAGTACGACTTGATAGCAATCGATGTATTTTTCATTACGCAAGCGATTTCTATAAATATATTCCGTACACATTTGTTTTAAACTTTTTGCGTATCTAACATTTTCAATGCGTAATTGGAAATTTTCTATGCGAATTTTACCCGGATACGCAGCTTATCTGGGCCTCTGGCAGTGTTTACTGATGTGAGTGCCTTAGTGGCAATGTTTACTGTTGTCAGTGCCTTAGTGGTAATGTTTACTGATGTCAGTGCCTTAGTGGTAATGTTTACTGATGTCAGTGCCTTAGTGGCAATGTTTACTGTTGTCAGTGCCTTAGTGGCAATGTTTACCTTTGTCAGGGCCTTAGTGGCAAATGTTTACTGTTGTCAGTGCCTTAGTGGTAATGTTTACTGTTGTCAGTGCCTTAGTGGCAATGTTTACTGCTGTCAGTGCCTTAGTGGCAGTGTTTACTGTTGTCAGTGCCTTAGTGGCAATGTTTACCTTTGTCAGGGCCTTAGTGGCAATGTTTACTTTGTCAGGGCCTTACTGGCAATGTTTACTGTTGTCAGTGCCTTAGTGGCAATGTTTACTGTTGTCAGTGCCTTAGTGGCAATGTTTACTTCTGTCAGTGCCTTAGTGGCAGTGTTTACTGTTGTCAGTGCCTTAGTGGCAATGTTTACTGTTGTCAGTGCCTTACTGGCAATGTTTACTGTTGTCAGTGCCTTACTGGCAATGTTTACTGTGGTTTTTTTTGGGGGTTGGTTGGTTTTATTTTCCATATTTCATGTACTGGCAAACATGTATAGATAAGTTTCATAATAATACAATGTTATATGTTTACTGTTGTCAGTGCCTTAGTGGCAATGTTTACTGTTGTCAGAGCCTTACTGGCAATGTTTACTGTTGTCAGTGCCCTTACTGGCAATGTTTACTGTTGTCAGTGCCTTACTGGCAGTGTTTACTGTTGTCAGTGCCTTAGTGGCAGTAATGTTTACTGTTGTCAGTCCTTAGTGGCAATGTTTACTGTTGTCAGTGCCTTGGTGGAAATGTTTACTGTTGTCAGTGTTTCAGTGGAATAAATGGGGAATGTTTTAGCTGGCGTTTCCACTCACGGTATCTTCTTGTGCTCCAGCACTAGACGGGGTCCTCTGGGCATATGGACAGAATCTCATGCTGTAGATCCTCAGCGTCCCTGGAGACAGGCTAGGGTAGGGAGACCCTGGGGACAAAGACATGGCACTTTGTTTAATACCCACGAGACAGTCAAATTGGTAATGGTTCAGCTGTGTCATGAATCAGAAACATGTATAATTCAACACTACTGTGATACAACTCCTAATGTGAAATTCGAAAGCCAATAGGCAGAATTTCCCTATCAGTGTTACTGCTACAGATGTTCATGTTCATGTATTTTCATTATGGAGAAATTTTGCAATATATTTTATTGAGAAACAAATCATCTGGCCCCAGTCATAGTAGCGAATCAAACCCTTCAGAGTAACAATCACTGCAACAGCTTGTGTGTGACTACAGTAAAATTTATGAGACTCCAGTACATTACAATGACTCAGCAAACATTAATGACCTGATATGAGTAGACTTTACATGTAAAATGAAAAAAATTCAATGCTGAGGATTGTAATCACAGTACAACCAAGATATTGAAGTGTTTACCTTGGTCAAACTGAAAATTAATGAGCATATATTTCAGACAGATTTGTTGAATTGAGATATTCAACCTAGTTTTGTAGGTACGCACTCTACCATAAATGTATACAACTAATGAAAGTTCACATAACAGAACGGCAAAACATTCACTTGAAGGACAGCAATTCGTGGACGAAGTTTAAAATGAAAAATACATTTGGTTTCCCGACACATCCACAAAACCAGAATTTTGTGTAATTAACATGACAGACATCATATACCAAAGGGTAAGAGTTCCTCCCGTTCCTCCACATCCCAAATAGTATTTATAAATTAATATATTCTAAAATTATAAACAAAACTTAACACAACAATTACTAGAGGACTAACAAAAATGACTAAACGTCCAAAATTTAAGTTAGGGTCAGGGTTATTTTTAGGGTCAGGTTTAGAGTTGGGTTTAGGGTTGGGGGAACGGAGGGAACTCCTAGCAAAGACATGAAAGGGGCTGACAGTGACAGTCTGTGTCCTAGAAACTTGGTGAAAGTAGTTGACACTGAACTGAACACACTTCGCCCGGCGTCGTGGAAATAATCTTACCTTTGGAGTGTGACTTGAGGGACATGGCGTAGCTAGAACACTTGGCAAGTCGGGCACCAGCAACTTGAATGTTGTCACAACTTCTGAACTGTGAAATGGGCGTAAACAATGTGTGCACTTTCGACGTTCCTGTGATTAGTCGAGTGCAGAGCATTGAATCGAAGATTACTGCCTCCGTAACTACTCGTGTCAAATATGGTTCTACGTCCCGTTTGCGCTGCGAATGTAATGTAAATAGAGCTAGAGCCCAGTCTCAACATCGATTCATCTCGTGTGTGTCCGTAAAGACGTCCGGAAACACGCGAGGATTCTCGCCTCTCTTGTACCTGCACTCAGGGATGACTTAGCATTTCACGACTGCCACATGATCATTTGCAAAACACGTGACGGAACCTTTTTCTGTTTGTTAAACTCATTAAACTGATGCGCTTTTTCTGAAATCTGAACCGACTCGCCTAATGCAAGCATTTCGATATGTTCTCTATATTGTTTTGCGTTATTATATACAGCAAGTTCGATTGTGGACTCGGGACAGGCGAGCTTGTGTAAACTACACCTGTACCGATAGCCTTGATATTACTGGAATATTGCTCAAAGCGGCGTAAAACCATTCTCATTCACTCTAAACAGGGAGACTATGTTGTAGATTATCCCTGCTCGATCTGAACAACACTGTGCCGATACTGTTGTATGAACATTTAGCGGACTAAACACACTCTCCAACTATATGGGTGAAATTTAATCCTCCATATATCTACCTGTCACTCGGCTAGAAATGTTAACCGGCCATACCTGTTGAGTGAGTTGAGGTTAACCGAGCTTTCAACTGTGTTCCAGCTATAGCAGAATGGCCCGTCGGCTTGACGAGGAAGGGAATTTCGAATGTGCAAGGGTGACGACTTGATGAAAAACGATGCCGCAGTTGGAACGATTATTTTCCCGTTTGGTTGGTTGGTCGTTGTTTAACGCCGCACCCGGAAATATTCCAGCTACATAGCGGCGGTCTGTAAATAATCGAGTCTGGACCAGACAATCCAGTGATCAATTCAATCTACGAAATTACGATGACATGTGTGTACCGAGTCAGCGAGCCTGACCACTCGATCCCGTTAGTCGCTTCTTATATATTACGACAAGCATGGGTTAATGAAGACCAATTCTAATCCGGATCTTCACGAGTCTTTTTTCGTTTGGACGTCAGACGATACCATTGGCATTTATTACTCGTGAGTGAGTGAGGGAGTATGGTTTTATGCCACCTTTAGCAATAAGTCACGGCAAAGTACAGAAACAATGTACTTCAAACTTTGCACGCCTTTTTGGAATCGAACCAGGTCTTCGGCGTGACCATTCAACGCTTTATCAACAAGACTCCATTACATAGTCCTAAGCGTGCATGAATACCAGACCAGTCTCTATCAGGACAATTTATAAAACAATAAAAGTATATGTTCGGAAGTGTCCCCAAAAATCTGTCGTATGGGATGGAAGTGTATAACGGTTGAAAAATGAAATGTTTTGACATAATCAAACACGATTCTGCTCTCAGATTGCAAAACCATATTGTTTACAACTGAAAGTTGAACTTAGCTCAGGAGGGTTGTTTTTATCTCGGTTATCGAGCTGTCACGACGACGTCTATAACGCCTCATATATTATCTATGCTGTAGTTCACTATGTAACCCCGGAATGTTCACCCCGTAGTCTACTTAAGCTGATAAGCCTATTTGTTGTGTATATTAACTATATTGGCCGCCTCCGTGGTGTAGTGATTAGAACGTCCGCCCGGAGAGCGGAAGGTCGCGGGTTCGATCCCCGACCGCGTCATACCAAAAGACGTTAAAGTATGGTACTTGTTGGTCCCTGCCTGGCGCTCGGCATTAATGGGTACAACAAGGACTGGTCGGCTCGGAGTCAGTATAATGTGTCTGAGTGGGGTATTCATGCTTCACTGAGCTAGCACTATGAAACCAGCTTAAGTCTGGGCTAGTACAAGCAGCTGCACATACACATACACACGCATGCACGTCGTCATATGAGCGAAATATTCTCAGGCACGACATTAAACCCAATTTCACCTCACCTCACCTATTAACTATATTGCTGGAAGCAACGTGCACTGCTTCTGTAGTTGTAGTTATACAGTTCGTCTTGAACGATTTCTTTTAAAAAACAAATATACATTTTTGATAACTGAAGGAATTGTTGATGACATCAGCTGGTATAATTTTTTTATCCATGAAAGGGTTACTATAATAATAATTTTTTTATCCATGAAAGGGTTACTATAATAATAAGGCTGTAAACATTTCTCTGCTCCAAGAGGATGTTAAACTCGTCGTCAAGGGAACGTGAATTACAAGTTGTGCACAAAAACATTTGGAGATCATAATGTGCTTTTGACCGTTTATACTGAACTGTCAACTTATGTGATGCGCATTTACTATTTATGCTTGACGTTTTGTTAAAATGAAACGTGTCAAACCAGCGAAAGCTTGTCGTGCGGTTAGAAATGATCTTCAGAAACCCATGTTTGTGATAAGATTCATCTGTGGTGATCATGACAAGTATAGAAGCACTCGTAAAATACGCCACATTTAGCCTTTTTGAAAGACGCTGTTGTAATGACCCCAGCAGTACATAGGTAATGCACTTGAGGCAAAAAGTCGCCCGAGCTAGTAAATGCATATTTAATTTTATATACATCAACATGCATTTATGTACAAATTGATTCTAAACAAATTGAATTAAATTTTAAACGAATCAAATGCCTCTCCACGCTTCAGTTAAATATTTCCTTGTGAAAGTAAAGTTTGCATAGCGGCGCCTGAAGATGTTTGAAGAAAAACGGTAAAAAGTCCACTGTAAAGAGTTGTAAAATGATAGTGATTTAAATGAATATACATACATTTATGCCAAACATAAATATAAAAACCGTATTCATTTAAGCTCATTTGAGTAATGGCATGTGAATGGAATTTAGAAGTGATACACATAAGGAAGAGAGTTTTTATGGATGTCAACTTCTTTCGGAGTATATCGTTACTCCTTCATCAGGTGAGTCATGAAGGAGTAAGGATATATAGTCCGAAACGTTGTGTTCCTCATAATAATGAAGTTGACATTCATAAAACTCTATTCCGCACATTATCGTGGAGTCCGTGTACCCTCAGACTATGTTCCCATGTCTAAAACTGGTTAAATGGCCATCCCTGATGAGTGAGTGAGTGAGTGAGTTCAACGCCGTTTTTAAGAGTATTTAAATTATTTCACGATGTGTCATTTTCATGTAGAAGGTAATCTTAAAAGGATGGAGGTCGTAGACAGACATTTATCGTCTCTGATTCAAACCCTGAGCTTGTGCGATATACACGTGGCTGAACCCCATTTAACCTCTCCTTTTTGTTTTCGCTGCCACGACAATTCCCTATCGATTCCTTCTACTTATGAACGATACATCTAGAATAACCTTTTGTCTCTGTTTGTCAAGTCTGATACTTACATTGACACAGTCTGATTTCGTCGTCAGTGTAAGTACATTTTGCATGTTGCCTATGCATGTCCCGTCTTACGTGGTGTTTCTTTCGATATCAGGTTAAACTTTCATATTTCCTAAACTGGAACTCTACCTCTACCAACTCCACTCTAATCTGAAACACAAGACAAGACAAGACAAGACAAGACACGATATTTATTGCATAGTATTACATGAAAGAACACTGGCAATATTCTATAAACTACAAACATAAAAACAGTAGGTACAAAGATATAGAAATACACAGATACATTTCAACATATAAATGATGTACATTATAACAATTTCACAAATCATAAGTATAGTATAATGACATGGAAACAATAAGAGGAGACTATCGTAATACACAGAATTCATTTAAACTTGTAAATATGATGACATATTTTGGAAATTGTTTCTAGGCTTCTGTTTGTGACAGTTGTTATGAATTGTTCATTTATGCAAAGTGTAGGGAATTCTTGATCATGATTAAGGATTGTTTGTGGAAGTGATTCTCTTTGTTTGATATACTCTATACAGGATATTACATGGTGTTGCTCATCGTCTAAGGCATTACACATTTCATAGAGACGATGTTCTAATGGGGTTGCAGGTTTTGTATATCTACCAGTTTCAAGTTTGAGTTTATGATTACATAACCATAGTTTTGAGAAATGTGAACTATGGGCTTTGTTTTTACAATGAAATACATACTTCTCGACATTTATGGATGACTTGACCAATCAAATTATCTTTGCTTGCATGACCTGGAAACCGTGATAGCCTTGTTAGTTCGTCATGGGCGACAAGAAATATCACCTATACCTGCAACAAACTTTGCTGATACTCAGTTAGTCGATATGGGTGATATTTATTGTTAATCGATGGCATTGGAATATTGCTCACTGAAAAGCATCTCCACCACACCACTCTCTGTCTGTCTGTCTCATCGTCTTCCAGCACCCTACCCCCGCCCCTCCTCAGTTCAACCCCCACCCCCACCCCACCACACACACACACAGAGTCCCCGGGGACCATGCCATATGCCCCTTCCCCCTGGCACGCCACACGGTCTATGTCGGAAGTCCATCACTGTCGACCGAGACAGGCCACGGTGCTAATGATGGAGAGGATTCAGTTACTGGGGTCAGCCTGTCGATTCAAGCTAGGTACACAACAGTGTTCGTGTGTTAACAGTCGAGCCACTTCTTTCCCTGCTCTGCATTCCAGAGTAAAACATGAGTCAAACACAGGGCGACATTCTGCAGCGTGTTTCCTTCACCCAACCCTTCATGCCGGGAACACTGTGGAGACTGCCACGCCTCGGGGACCATAGAAAAAACAGCTGGACGATTTACCGCTTCCCGAATGATTAATCCAGCACAATACGCTGTATTAGTGAGTGAATTACATGGTATCATTGCTATATATATATTGGTAAAGAGATGATGTCACGCCGTATGTATGTATGTATGTATGTATGTATGTATGTATGTAAAGATAATCATAGGTATATTTCTAAGGTCCTGGCCAGCCGACATTATTAATAATATGCACCTGCCTAGATCATTCTTGGCTTGAGTTAGGCTCCATAATTTATCCTCTGAGGTCTGGGAGGCAGACAATGCAGCGTGAGTGACTTTAGTTTTACGCCGCTTTAAGCAATATCACAGCAATATCACGGCGGGGTCACCAGAAATGGGCTTCGCACATCGTACCAATGAATCGAACCCGGATCTTCGGCGTGACGAGCGACGCTTTTACCACTAGGCTACCCCACCACCCCAGACTATGCAGACTTGTGTCCAATGCTTGCCAGCACCATACCGAGTGTTGTGCTAAAATGTACGTACTGTTTACCTTTTACCTCCCATAGCCAACTGACGGATCACGGTATAACTGAAACACAGGCCAAATCGTTGGTCAGCCTCAGTGCATACTACAGTCTCAATGAAGTCCGATCTTTTCCCCTAATTCATACTTCTAGACGTTAAGATTACACAGACCAAATCTTCCAGGATTTGATTCAATCCTTTTGACCCGATCAGATACCAGTATTCTCAAGTGATTCGGCGTGATGTCTTCACCTCGGGTTGGTGGTTGGTGTGAGTGAGTTGGGTCCATGACGCTTGGGGTTGTAATGAATATTGCTTTACGTCGCATCAGCAATCTTCCTGCTATTTGCGGCGAGCATATGGCGGAACCAACACGTGTACCTCAAAGCCACGTCTAATAATGGGACCTATGATAAACTTATCTTAACTTTGCGAGCTATATTTCAGTTGCAATTTTCAACAATCGCGAAGCTCTACCTCGATATTGCGACATGTACACATAGTGTTCACAAATGATGTTATTTTATTGATGCCTATCGAAAACAGTTCGATTGTGGCTAGAATATACACTTTTCAAATATTTTTGTGAAAGAATATAATATAAAAATATAAAACAACGTTATTACATGCCTAGAAAATAAAGAAGTCTTTCAACTCATAACTGAAAAAAGTATATAATATTTTTGATATGCCCCCTTTGCCAGCTGGTCGTCACGTTTGTGCAGTATACATCAACACACGGTAGCGTAACATCAGACAGAAAATACAGGGACTGTCTCAGCGGGCTATACGGATACCTCACTATAACGCCCTACGAAACGAAGACTGATAACAAGTTCAAATACCGTTGTCGAATTATGTATCGTATTTTTGTAAGCGATTGAATGTGTGTGATAAAAAAGTATTTGAAACTACTTAACACTACAAAAACTAACAAAAACCAGACTTATAACATGCTTTGTTTTCGAATAGATATAACCGATTTATAAGTCTGGCTCCTTTCTGACAAAAGTGCTGTCAGGAACACTAAACAATCACGACAGCGTTCGAAAATTCAAAGCCATAAGTATACCACTGTAAACACAGCATCATCGGAGCATGCGCAGTCCGTCTTGCCTGGCAGCGACGAGGAGAGCGCGTTATATACGTATAAGTCTAAATATGTTCGCCGAGTGACGGGATCTGCCGAGAACAAATCAACAGAACACTTCAGTGGATTTTACCTGAATTCTCGTCAACATGATGCACAGAGAAAAATACGACATACAACCGGAACAAAGGTAGGCCCTGCATACAAGATATTAACTAATGACATTATGTAGGACATTGGTTTGAACGGCGTCGGAATGCTCAATCGGACCAAGTTATTCGAATGGCGCTGAGACCACGGGTCGTTCTGGTGCGATGTGTTTCTTGTCGTGAATATTAAGTTTTGTTAATGGGGTTAAGTAAATTTTAAAAGAGGGACGGCAGCTTTTTTTCTGTTGCCATGGGAACAAAGGCAGGGGGTCAGTTCTGTCTTGACACCTGAGACATCTCGTGGCGGATATTCCCCAATCCCCCTTTCGCCGTTTCTGCAAGTTTGTCCGAGTGAGACGCGCTGCGCGTCCCGTGCTGTGCAGCTTTGCACATTCCTCCGCGTCCAGTATGATTCTTCAGGCCTGCAAGTCTTAACTGGCGTTATTTTCATGGCCATTACCTATCTGAAGGTCGTTAATTATTTCTTGTAAGCTATTTAATCTAAATTTATTCGGTTTTATCTTTCACTGCCATGTTTAGACAAGTGTGCCCTTATCCCTTTTACATATATTTTATTGAATACTCAACGCACCTAAAATACTGTAAATGTTTACAGTACTACGATGTTCGTCATCGCCATTACGCTTGTGTGCTATTCACACAAAATTAGTCTCCAGTACCTAATGCCGTCGAGCACTGGAAATGAGTGGGTGGGTTGATGCTGTCTTCATAGTGCGTGTCATCGTAACTGGAGTAATTTTTTCCACAGCCAGTCACATATATCTCGGTAACCAGCACCACATGGCACCCTCTTATACACTGCAGGCTGGGTAAAACAACACTGACTCACTCACTCAGCCAGTTCGCGCATATTTATCCATACATAGGTTAATACGTCTCTCTACATGAAGACACCTGGTTCTTTGATAAGCTCTAATACACTGCGGGCTTTGTAAAATCTACAGTGACTCACTCACTCACTCACTTACTCACTCAACCCGTTCACTCACGACCCATCCTTATCCACACAGAGGTTAAGAAGTCCCTCTATAACAAGACGCCTGGAACTTCAATAGTAATACTGCAAGAGACAACGAGAACTAAGACAGGATGTGAGGCCAGAGTTGACGAGGCGTGAGAATGGGATCTTTGATCTGTCATGCAGACCAGTGAAACCAAGAGAACTCACGTTAAGTCTGTAATAGTTAGCAAGTCTTGAATACTGCAGAGACTTAAATTGAAAAGAGTCTCTGGGACCCTATTTATTATATTTTAAAAAAATATAATATTTTTGTTTTGTTGAAATATTTTCATTTCAGCTACTAGATAGCTACTAGATAGCCACTAACCGTTTCTAGTCCCGATGTGTCTCTTCTATGATGATGACTCATAACAAAGTTCGTTTCCGTCTTTCGACACCAGAACAGCCCACCGGTAAAACCCACAATAAACATTACTTGAAATGTACAAAAGGGAAGTTTCTCTTTCAGATCCAAGAAAACCCGAATAGTCTCTTGCATTGTGATTGTCGTTTTACAAATCCTTTCACAAGGAAATATTACTCCATTATGTTATTTTATAGGCAATGGAAAACATTTTTCAAATAGATTCTCATCTAGGAAACAGATATTGAAAGTAGTCGTGATTAAGAACTTACCATTGTTGTCAGTAGGTGGGTTTCCTTCATGATAGAGTGCATTGCAGATCAATTCTAACCACGAGGAAATTCAGGGGGAAATGTTGATACCCCTACATACATCCACTTGTATACCAATCAGGCTTATAAGTTTACGATGAATGAAACAGCTGTGGTGATATCATTGAACGTTTAGCTTTTTCTGAGTCCATTTTTGTCAAATGGCTGATCAGAAATCACACACACACACACTGCATAACATGTTCCCATAAACATTTCAAAACACTGAAACATAACTAAGACTGACATGGAAAACTAGAGCCGAGGCAATCTAGACATGGTCAAACATTCTAGACATGGTCAAACATTCTAGACATGGTCAAACATTTTAGACTTGAGTCAAACATTCTACACATGGTTAAACATTCTAGACATGGTCAAACATTCTAGACTTGAGTTAAACAACCTAGACATGGTCAAGCATTCTAGACATGGTCAAACATTCTAGACATGGTCAAACATTCTAGACTTGAGTCAAACATTCTAGACATGGTCAAACATTCTAGACTTGAGTCAAACATTCTAGACTTGGTCAAACATTCTAGACTTGAGTTAGGCTCCATGATTTATTGTCTAAGGTCTTGGAGACAGACTATGCAGAATTGTGTGATCATATCATTGCAGACTACAGTCTCAATAAAGTCCGAGCTGTATATCTGTTTTAACTTACATGAAGTAGAGAGCAATGTTAATGTACGCTTATTTATTTCTCCTCTTTCCACCCAGCCATTTTATCTATAAACTGTAAATAGTATAAATAAGTATAATAATAAATCCATGTGAAAAGGCTTGTACGTTGTAATAAGTGGTATCCAACCCTTTTCATAATGATAAAATATGGCACATAAGATATGAAAACCGAAAAGTAATATCTAACTGCAGAATATCGAGCTTTCACTTGCTACCAAATTCTCAGATAAAACTTCAAACATGTGGAGCAAACCCTGCGTCAGTTACCAGGAGATACCGACCGCGATAACACCCCCGTATATGCACCAGGTGATGTCCGGACCGCATGCATTCAATTAAAAAAGAACGATGTTTCTTATTATCATATGCAACTTTAAGCCGCATCTCATGAACAGTAAATTGCCAATAAAGAATATTATTTCCGCGTTGCAATTCATATTTTTGTATTTACTTTGATCCAAGCGTTTGTCGTCACTGTTTGCTGATGTGGAGAGATTTAAAGGCGTTTCGTTCTCGATTAAAACACCAGACATCTGTCAAAATACCGTTATATTTTTTCTCTATGTCACCTAATGCAGTTTTTGGTACCGAAAATAGCTTGGCCAGTAAACCAGTGTCAAGAAATGCTTACGAGCACGTTTGTTTCCGTGTAGGCTGATCTCACGCGGTGTTTCAAGTTCACTGTTTACGTCTTGAATGTGATTTTTACTTCAAATAACTAATAACCGAGCATTCTAGACATCTCAAAGCCCTTTCATGAAGAACGGAACGCCACGGGATCATAATCGCCTATAAGTAATATGCTGGTAAACAAGTCCTTCTTTCGACGTTCTATTTTTCAAATAAACCAGTCATCGCCCAAGACTCCAGTCTCATAAAGCGGGCAGAGAATGATCATGCTCATATTTGTAAACATTATGCATTCGGACCTTTAAAACGTTGGTGTTTAGAATAAGGCATAAACTTGTTCATGCCTTGGATGTTTCTTAAACGTTTAAAGCAACGGGTTATCCATATCAGTTGAAGATCGTTGGTGCTGAGGTGGTTTCGTATGTATGTTATGAAAAGAGTTCGGACAATATTTGATGAGTTGTTTGTGGTGGATGGGGGATAAAAACATGTTTGACCAGCAAAAAGCTGAACCCGAGGAGAAACTATTTTCACCATTTTCGGGAAAAGACTATTTTAAAAGAAAAGAGATATGTTCTACAGAATGTGATCTGCAGTGACCTATAAACTTCAAACGAGAATGTGACGAAAACGGGCCTCAAAACTACTTTCAAACCGTTTTGATCTTGGGACATTTGAGTGTGACATTCTGTCCCTCTACGCCCTGTCGTGGCGAATGAACCGCTGGTATGCAAAATAACACACAGACGAAATACACCTTCGACCCTTCCATGCTCTCCAGGGGGTGACGTTGCTCTGTTCTGTACAGGACATTCAGTCTCCCAGGGGCGAATGACCTTGAACCTCCGTATTCTATAGAACTGACGATGTTCTGTTCTGTACAAGACATTGTCTCCTAGTGACAAATGACCTTGGACCTCCGTGTTTTAAGGAACTGACGATCCCTTTTTTGTACAGGACATTCAGTCTCCTAGGGACGAATGACCTTGAACCACCGATGTGACAAATACACTTTCAAGTCTTCCGGGTTCTGCAGGAAGTGACGATTAATATTAAGCTATTTAGTACGTGTCAAATAACGAATCCAGCAAGAGACCATGAAATAGATAATAATTCATTCTATAGTCCCTGATCATACATAGACAAAACATCAACCGCCCATGTCCTACAGAAGCGTTCGCTGACTTGATTGAAACATGGTCATCCCTAATGCAAAGATCGATGCATCCTGATGTTGATCACTGGTTCGTCTGGTTCAAACTCCTTATTTACCCACCTTTTAGCTGGAATATTGCTGAGTGCGGCGCAAAACAACAAACAAAGCAAACCCAAGCTACAGGCCTTGGGTGGTTGTGTATCCATCTTTCACCACTGGCGCCAGTAACACTGCCAATGTGGATGTAGAACGCTCGTCCAGCTTGCCGGTCTGCAGCAGCCAGACCGCAGGATGAAGCACGTCAGTGATGCAGGGGAGATATATTCCATGTGTATTTGTTCAGTCGGGTGTTTATTATCAGTTTATTTGAAGGGATGTAAGTCAGCAGGGAATTGACAGACACGTTACACGATCGAGACAGTCATCCTTCTGCTGGGCCTCTGCCAGCAGAGTGTTGTATAAAACACGGAATTGGCTGTTCCTTGCAGGGAATTTATGAAAAAACTTATCAGTGTGTGGAGTAAGTCGTGTTAACTGGCTTGAGCTGATGTAATCAGATCAGATTTAATGGCTACATAAACTGCAGGGAGAACGAAAGCATACGTTTGAAAACTTGATTTGATAACCAAATACAGACTGCTAAACTGATCAACTGATAAACTTTACAACGTTGATAACAGTCCCTGAAACCATGAATTATTGCAAAGTTAAGGTAAAAATATAGTAGGCTTATGAAATATATGCCGAGGGGCAAAAGAAAGTATACACTTGAAAACTAGAATTCGAAGAATTACAAAGTGAACTGTATGTAAACGTCACTAGGCTGAAACAGTACCTAAAGCACTGCAAACCTAAGGTCCAAAACACGC